GCAAAAAACAGAACTAATTACTCAGGCAAAAGGCAATACTTAAAATAAGAACGGAAATATCTGTATTCTTTTCTAATGGAATGACATTTCAATCAATTTCTATTATTTTAATAATTCAAATTTAAAACCTAATTTAGTAGGTATTGTAAATTTATATTTAGAACTTAATTTAGTGTTCTGTAATAGATTGAAAGTTTATTTCGTGTCTGAAGGTTAACTTTGCACGTTTAAGACTAAACGTGATTTTTAAAAATAAAATCCAATTGATTGATTTCATTGCCTTTCATTTACGCTAAAAGTTAATTAGGTAATTAAACGGCTCGTGCGTTGTACGAACCACAATCCTGTCCAAGTTTATATTTCCGTTTTGGCGGGCTTTTTGTGTGTACCACAGATTATCCTGTTGTTAGGTACGAACGTTATTGGTGACAGTATGCAGTAGGTATACAGCAACGATCCACCAACGACTCAAAATGCAGAAATAAGACCTTCTCTGGTATTAGCACCAGTGATCCCACTCCTCGTTTCTGTGGAGGTCATGTGCATGTATTTGAATGCTAAGGCGAATCCTGATCTGGCTAAATGTACTAGAACGGCAGTAACCGCATAATGTTACGAATTATGCCTGCTCGTGTGTCTTCAACAACACTAACAAGAAAAAATGTATTGAAAGAATTAGAACGTATTTGCTTTTACCCGCAGCTTCGCCCGCGTGGTCTAGGAAATGTACCAGTGCAGTTCCGTGAGAATGAGTCATTTTTTCGAGATGACAAAAGGTAACTTAAGTAACTTTTCTGATGTAAACCTAATACTTTAAAAAAATAATGTCCGTGCGTTGCTTTGTTTTGACATGAAAGAAGAACCAACACACAAACAAAGAAACATACATACTTTACAGAATATACTTTCACTAATAGTGTAGAAAAAAAAACTATGGATGACATCATTTAAGACCGAATTGTTAATAAGTATCTACAAATGTATAAAATAAAGTATTTTAATTTTGTTAATATTTACATTTGCATTAGAATAAAGACAGTCAAGCTTAGTAAATCAAACTTCTTTAAAAAAAAAAAAACTGGGTATACATATCCAGTCTGGTTAAAGATTTATCCTCATTTATATTGTTTTAATGTATTTCGTAACATCAAAACAATATGATGCAATCGTGTCACTTTCAAACGAAAAATGTGAACGAGAATTGTTTGTGGTTAACCGATGGCTTGTTTTTTTTTTGTTTTTGTCGTGTTGTAGATATTTTGTTACGTTTTTTGTTTTTCCTTCATTTTACTTTTAAAAAAACGATAGCAATGTAAACATGTCAGATTGAGTTTCATTACACTAGCTAAATACACAATACGAGTCGACTATTATCAAAGCCGGCAATCTGACTTTTGGACAATGATTGGTAAATCAGAAAAACGAATTATTGACTTTGTATTCCATTGGCAGTCACAAAACTCTTCGGAACGACATCTTAGATAAATAACAGGTTAACTATTAACCTTTATTTAATGCAGGTTTTGAACCGTATTCTTTGAAGGAGACGATTATATTCAAATCAATCTGTATTGACATATCAATAAATTTTTTTTGTCCAAATGCACAGATTGCCACCTTTGATAATAGACGACTCATACAATAGCTTACTGGTGGTAGGACCTCTTGTGACGCATTTACGTCGTAAATATCTACGGGCTCCAGTAACCACTCAACACCAGGTGGGCTGTGAGCTCATCCACCCATCTAAGAAATAAAAAAAAAACATTTTTCGAACACATTAAATTTTTACTTTGTGTTCCTTTTTTTTGTTCGTAGGAATATCAAGACTCTTCTAGTGTATTTGAAATATAACTCCACGCGCCAAACAGGTTACGTGCAATTCAATACGATGTGACGTGGACCGTAGATGGCGCCACTATCGAGTTACGAAAATTACCGCGAACAAGACAACACTCATTAACAATGTATTCAATTTAAAATGTTTTATTACTATATAAGCGAAATCTGCGGAATTGCATTTCAGTTTTGATTAGTTTGATATTTTTTCGACTGCTCTTGCTCCAGTAAAAATATTTATTCCACTTTAAAAAAAATGAGAAAATTTTTAATTACTAAACATTAATAATTAGGAGGGTGTGAAATTTTCTTGCAAAGTTACATTGAACGAAAACTGTTTTATTACATTATATTACATCACAATTACTACATTACATAAATTACATTAACTATTTACGAATAATATTAAACAAAAATTAAAAATATAATTGAAATACCTACATATGTTATTCGTCGTATATTTAAAAGTTCTCACAAGGTACCTAATTAATTTAATGCTAGGTATTTTTCCTCATCAGTTTTTTGCATAAATAAAAACTATAAAGATTTCGGGGAAATTTTTATTACACATCTCAGTGACGTAGAAAAGAAACCAGAATTTATATTTTACTGTTGAACCGGTTTTAAATATCGGATACGTGTTACATTACATCGAGCGATAAAGGGGGAGTTCAAATGGCAGCGACGCGCGGAGCTATCGAAATATTATATCTTCACTGTTACAATTTTGCTGTGCTTAAAGATTGCTCAAGCCTCAACTCTATTCCGTGAATACAGTAGGTTGTGATAGCTTTACTTCATATACCTACTGGTAAGACAGCTTGTGAACGCATACGAGTAGGTACACCCACCCTGCCTATTTCTGCCGTGAAGCAGTAATGCATTTCGATTTGAATGGCATCCGTGCGCCTAGGTAGATTACGACATCAATTCTTTGAATCCTTGTTGTCTTTGACGATTAGAGTATTCAGTACAACACATGATAATTTAAAAACATAAAATTACCTACGTATTAGGGGTATGGACAAATAAAAAAAACTAATTATGTGGTGTCATGGGACACCAGGTAGGAACGAAGTTCCTTCGGCTAATGTAGAATCGACACAATTTGCAAAAAAAAAATCGTGCTCAATTTTATTGGAACAATTTTATTGGTTTTCTTGATTTTTCACTTAAATTTTGCTGATTAGTTTTTATTTAAGTACAGGAAAGTATTTAGGAAATTCAGTATTTTAGGAAATAATAAATTACGTAAAATAAAAATAAAATCGTAATTCAAATTATCAATTAAAATAACAAAATATGTCTCTTTATTTTTATTTGACAACATAAAATTACATAGAAATAGAAATAATTACAAAATAGAGAGAGAAGGGATGAGAGAACGAAAAGAAAGAGGGAGAAAGAGAAAGGTATTATACACTACTCGCTTGTGTATACGACTGTCGCGCCTGCGCACGTCTCATTTAACGGTTTTATTCCACCCACTTTTTTCCACGGATTTTTTCTTACGGTTTTACTATCACATTTTTTTCAGTTCGGTCGCGCAGCAAAATCCCTATCCCCTCCAAGCCTGCCGTAAGGAACTTCGTTCCAAAAAAACATTGACATGTTTTACTGTATGTAGTGGTAGGACCTCTTTTAAGTCCGCACGGGTAGATACTACCACCCTGCCTATTTCTGTCGTGAAGCAGTAATGCGTTTCGGTTTGAAGGGTGGGGTAGCCGTTGTAAATATACTGAGACCTTAGAACGTATATCTCAAGGTGGGTGGCGCATTTACGTTGTAGATGTTTATGGGCTCCAGTAACCACTTAGCACCAGGTGGGCTATGAGCTCGTCGACCCATCTAAGCAATAAAAAGTTACCATCGATCGACCTAAGCATCACTGCTGTAAAAAACTATTAATTAAAAATATTTCTCATGGTTCTCAATTTAACTGGTCCTTTATGATACGTCGAACTATGAATTCGGTTTACTACACACAAGACGCTAATTGGATCTGGCTGCCGCTGCCCAAGTACAGCAACGGTGACGTCTGCACCTACGAGTATCTCGTTATAATTTTGAATGACGTAGACGGAAAATCTCGTAACCTATGCTTCGTATTACCGACTGGTTTTGAAAGGTTTCGGGGTTTTTATTGAATTATACTGATATCCACTGAATAGAGATTAGGAACCCAGAAAAAAACACGTTTACATTTTAAAGCAAATTTAATCGAGTATAATTATTATTCTCGTACAAACAAAGCAATAGGTACCTACACGTAGTATCTTCGTAATGATTTAATAATCATTGCATTTAAAAAGTCGTTGTGTAACTCATTTTAATTACATCTATTTGTATGTTTGCGATAACGAACAATGCTATCAAACATGAAGTTTTGAAGTTTGACATCACAAACTGAAATCACATATCAATTGCATTGTGTAACAGCTGTCGCACGCACCCTTCGAGCCGAACGCATAACCGCTTTGGAGCAAAATAATGGTACTATCCGTACGGACTTATAGAAGGTACCAGTAAATACAGTTTGGTGATCGCAATACGCTGGTATATTGCTCGTTTTGGAAACGGTTAAGAACTCTCGATCCAGTTGTCTGTGTTGTATCATAAAAACATGGAATGTTTTACTGTGCCATCTATGGTCGACTTTCAGAACTATTTACCGCCATCTGTTGGCGTAAAACATCTTTAACTAAGCGACAAGGCAACCAAGTCAAGATTTAACATTGCTCGTTTTGGAAACGGTTAAGAACTCTCGATCCAGTTGAGTCTGTGTGGTATCGTAAAACATGGAATGTTGTACTGTGCCATCTATGATCAACTTTTAGAACTATTTACCGCCATCTGTTGGCGTAAAACATCATTAACTAAGCGACAAGGCAACCAAGTCAAGATTTAACATCGTTGACAATAGATGGCAGCACATGCAAACAGTGACATCTATTGACTGGTTCCAGACTATCAATTTCTTGTTGTTATAGTTCCAGTGTGGTTTACATATAATTCGCTAGATGACGCTTAAATATTTTTTTAAATAATTAAGGTGGAGAATTTGCATTGTATTAAAAAAAAATCGATACAGTAAATAATTTTCTAAAATAAGCTTTGACAATGTACTTAACCTACTAAAAACAAAAGAATCAGTAACTCACCGGTGTCGTTGAGAAGGGCATTGATGTCCGTCGTCGACCCATCGGCCGACATTGCTAAAAACAAAAAAGCAGTTTAAATATCGTATAAAATCCAAATGTTTTTTTTATTGCTTAGATGGGTGGATGAGCTCACAGCCCACCTGGTCTTAAGTGGTTAATGGAGCCCATAGACATCTACAATGTAAATGCGCTCCTCACCTTGAGATATAAGTTCTAAGGTCTCAAGTATAGTTAGTTACAACGACTGCCCCATCTTTCAAACCGAAACGCATTACTGCTTCACGGCAGAAATAGGCAGGCAATACCCGCGCGGACTTACAAGAGGTTTTTTACCACCAGTAATTCCGCAAATTATAATTTTGCGGGTTTTATTTTATTACGGGTTTAGTTTCTGTAAAAGTTCACAAGTGTGGGAAAATAAAACGGAATCTTTCAAAAAGTCCACCGAAATCTCTTTAAAAAAAACCACTCTTTGACTGACCCTTTATCTAATCTCTGATCTTTTATCTCATGTCATCTCGTTTCATTTCATTTCATTCTAATTGACCATAGTCTTAAATAAATCAACTTTACTCATTTCGCTCGACATCATTTTTTTTTTTAATTTCCAAATAAGTATGCATTCAATAATTGAAGACTTTTACAAACTCGACACTGCTAGCAGCGGCATCGTATTAAAGTAATTGCCGTCCTAATGAAAGAAGAAAAAATCCTAAAACCAGGCTACAAATAATGCTAATAAACCTTTTTGACCATAATTGGATAGATAAAATTACTGCGGTATCTTTTTTTGTCATCGGTAGTTTAATAAATGTTTTGTAAATAGATATAATAAGGTTTTTTTATGGTAGGCCAAGAATGACATAAGGCACAGCATCACAGAGGCCGGAAGGTCAAAGCAAACCGTGCATAACATTTCTGTCCGACATCGACACGGTCGCCGCTGCTATTATTTACAGATTATTAATTTCCCATCTAATTGTACAAAAAATGTACTTTTAGTTTATTATACTTTAGAAACAATTTACTTGAAAATGTTTGTTCACATTTGGGTAGCAAGTAATGACTGCGTTGACGTCGAGTTTTAAAGAATCTGGTGTATTTTTATTTATTTACTAGCTGACCCGGCAGACTTCGTAGTGCCTCAATCGATAAATAAAAGACCTAAACATTTGTATAAAATAAACTTAAAACAAACAAAAGGAATCCGTCCGACGGGGGGCACAACAAAGGAAAAACAAAATTGTTATTTTTATTTAATTCCGAGCATTTTCATATTTATCTACCTTTTAAACCTTCTCTGGATCTCCACAAATAATTCAAGATTAAAGTTAGCTAAATTGGTTCAGCTTTTCTCGAGTTTTAGCGAGACTAACGAACAGCAAATCATTTTTATATATAGAGATTATTTAGGGCTTTTTTTTGGTCAATAGAAAATCGTTGCGGAGGTATGTCAGAGTTGAACCCCATAAAACTCCATGTTACTCAATAGTCTGCGTTTGAGCTTCAGATATGAAAAACTTTTCCGAGTCGTGTCGGAGGCAAATTTCAGTCATCAAATCAAAACTATTCACAAATTATAACTCAAGTGATGTTAATAGTGAAATAATCGCTCAAATCGGGCAAGCATTGCTGTAATGAATAGGTTGCTTTTTTCTGTTTAATATTTTTATGATATGCAATATGCATATAACTATTAAAATTTTTAACAGTCTCTGATTCCCATAGTACAGAGAATCCTAGTTTGGATCGAGATGACCACGTGCGACTTATCTCTTATTATTATACCTAGTCAGGTCTTAAATTCTGTCACATGTTTAATGTAAAATAATTGAAACAAGTTTATTCATTATGTAACCATTCATATACCAAAATGAACTTAACAAAACATAGATTCTTATGATACGAAAGTTTATTCAAAATGACCTTCGTGATTTTGAATACAGGCCTTCAATCTGCGCGGCCAGTCGTCTATCGCAGCACGAACGAGGTCCATGTCAATATCGGCGGCTGCCTTAATCAAGGATGTCTTGAGTGACTCCAAATTGGGATGAGGCTTTGAGCACGCCTTTTTCTCCAAGTGTTGCCATATCTTGTAATCTAACGGATTCAAATCTGGACTGGAGGAGGGCCAGTCTTCGTGCCGGATGAAGTCGATTTCACGCGCCGCCAGCCAGTCTTGTGTGCTTTTCGCTCTATGAGCTGGCGCCGAATCTTGTTGGAATACCCAGTGCCTGTTATTGAACATGGTATGAGAAACAGGTTCCACAAGGTTCGTCAGGACTGTATTTTGATACACAACTGCATTCGTTTTTACACCTTTCT